TAAAACTTTCAGTATAATATGGAAAAGGAATAATGAGAAGGGACATCCTTGTCCTGTTCCTGATCTCAATGCAAAAGCTTCTAATTTCTTACCATTAAGTATGATGTTCGCTATTAGGTGTTTTGTACATTTTTTTTTTTGCCAGATTGAGGAAATTCCCTATAGTTCTAATTTACTGAGAGTTTTTATTATGAATGGGTGTTTGATTCTGTCAGATGCTTTTTCTGTAGTTATTGATATGATTATATAATTTTTTTAGCCTGTTGATGTGATGGATTTCAACAATTGATTTAAAATGTTGAACCAGCCTTACATACCTGGGATAAATTCCACTTGGTTGTGATATATAATTCTTTTTTACATCGTCAGATTTGGTAATATTTTGTTAGGGAGTTTTGCATCCTGTTTCATAAGGGATATTGGGTAGTTTTCTTTTAATGTCTTTGTCTATTTTTGAAATTAGGATACTGTTGGCCTCATAGACTAAGTTAGAAAATATTCTCTCTACTTTTATCTTCTGAAAGAGATTGTAAAGAATTGGCCTAACTTCTTCCTTAAATGCTGGTAGAATTCACATGGGGAACCCATTGTGTCTGGTGCTTTCTGTGTTGGAAGGTTATTAGTTATTGATTAAATTTCTTTAATAGATATGGGCGTATTCAGATTGTCTGTTTTTAATTTTGTGAGTTTTGGCATATCTTCCAGCAGTTGGTCCATTTCATAATGGTTATCAAATTTGTGGGCATAGAGTTTTCATAATATTCCTTTATTATCCTTGATATCCGTGGGATCTGTAGTTATTTCTCCTCTTTCATTTCTGTATTAGTAATTTGAGTCCTATCTTTTTTCTTAGCCTCGCTAGAGGCTTAATGATTTTATTGATCTTTTCAAAGTACCAGCTTTTGGTTTCACTGTTTTTTTGGTATTGATTTTATCTTTTCAATTTCATTGATTTTTGCTCTAATTTTTATTATTTCTTTTCTTCTGCTTACTTTGGACTTAATTTGCTCTTCTTTTTCTAGTTGCCTAAGGTAGAAACTTAGATGATTGATTTTATATCTTCTTTTCTTTTTTTTTTTGAGGTCTTTTTTTTTTTTTTTTTTTTTTTGAGACAGAGTCTCGCTTTGTTGTCCAGGCTAGAGTGCCGTGGCGTCAGCCTAGCTCACAGCAACCTCAAACTCCTGGGCTCAAGCAATCCTCCTGCTGCCTCAGCCTCCCGAGTAGCTGGGACTACAGGCATGCGCCACCATGCCCGGCTAATTTTTTTTATACATATATATATTAGTTGGCCAATTAATTTCTTTCTATTTATAGTAGAGACAGGGTCTCGCTCTTGCTCAGGCTGGTTTCGAACTCCTGACCTTGAGCAATCCGCCCGCCTCGGCCTCCCAGAGAGCTAGGATTACAGGCGTGAGCCACCACGCCCGGCCTATATCTTCTTTTCTAATATATGCATTCAATGCTATGAATTGCCCACTTCATAGCTTCTACTGTATTCCACAAATTTTATAAACCTTGTTTTCATTTTCATTTAGTTCAAAATATTTTTCAATTTCTCTTGAGATTTCTTCTATGACCCATGTGTTATTTATTTAGAAGTGTAGTGTTTATGTATTTTGGGATTTTCCAGCTATCTTTCTGTTAGTGATTTCTAAAATCAATTAATTTAATCAATTTATTTTCTAGATTTAAATCTGCTATTGATTTAATTCCATTGTGGTCTGAGAGCAGACAATGTATAATTTCTAATCTTTTAAATTTGTAAAGGTGTGTTTTATGGTCCAGAATGTGATCTATCTTGGTTAATGTTCCATGTGAGCTTGAGAAAAAGGTGTATTTTGCTATTATTGGGTTAAGCAGTCTATAGATGTCCAGGTGATTAATGGTTTTGTTGAATTCAGCTACATGTTGAGCATCTCTAATCCCCAAATCGAAAATGCTCCAAAATTCAAAACTTTTTAAACACTGAAATTATGCTAAAAAAATGCTCATTGAAGCATTCAGATTTTGGATTTTTAGATTAGGGATGCTCAATTGGTAAATATAATGCAAATGTTCCAACATCTGAAAAAATTTTAAATCTGAAACACTCTGGTTCCAAGCATTTTGGATAAGGGATACTCAACCTGTATGTCTTCCTGATTTTCTGCCTGCTGAATCTGTCCATTTCTGACAGAGGGATGTTGAAGTTACCAACTATACTAGTGGATTCATTTATTTTTTTCTTGGAGTTCTATCAGTTTTCCCTTCATGTATTTTGACACTGTGTTGTTAGGAACATATACATTAAAAATTGTTATGCCTTCTTAGAGAATGGACCCATTTATCATTTTGTAATGGCCCTCTTTATACCTGATAAATTTCTTCTTCTGAATCTGCTCTGCCTGAAATTAAGATAGCTACTCCTGCTTTTTTTTTATTAGTGTGAATATGAAATATCTTTCTCCATTTAATTTTAATCTAGATGTGTTTTTATATTTAAAGTGGGTTTCTCATAGACAATGTATAGTTTAGTCTTGTTTTTTTGATCCATTCAGTCTGTTTATTAATTGGTCATTTAGACCATTGTCATTCAAAGTGATTATTAACATAGTTGGATTATCTACCTACCATATTTATTACCATTTTCTATTTGTTTTGTTCTTTGTTCCTCTTTTTGTCTTTTATTCTTTTTCTGCCATTTGTGGTTTTAATTGAGCATTTTATATGATTTCATTTTTTCTCTTAGCATATTAGTCATGCTTCCTTTTTTGTTTTTTTCCCAGTGGTTTCCTAGAGCTTGCAATTTACATTTACAACTAATCCATGTCCACTTTCAAATAACACTATACTGCTTCATGGTTAGTATAGGTACTTTATAATAACAAATAATCCTAATTCTTCCCTCCTGTCTTGTGTATCATTGGTGTCATTCATCTTGTACATAGGGGTACATAAGCATACATAATCGAATACATTGTTGCTATTATTTAACAAACTGTTATATGTTAGATCAATTAAGAATAAGAAAAATAAAAGTTTTTATGTTACCTTCACTTATTCTTTGATGTCTTCTTTCCTTTATGTACATACAAACTTCTTATCTATATCATTTTCCTCCTCTCTAAAGAACTTCTTTTAACATTTTTTGGAAGGTAGATCTACTGGAAACAAATTCTTTCAATTTTTGTCAGAGAAAGTCTTTATTTCTCCTTCACTTTTAAAGGATAGTTTCTCAGGGTACAGAATTCTATGTTGTTCGGTTTTTCCTTTCAATATGTCATATATTTTACTCCATTTTCTTCTTGCTTGGATGGTTTCTGAGGAGAATTGGGATGTAATTTTTATTTTGTTCCTCTATAGGTAAGATGTTTTTTCCCTGTAGCTTCTTTATCATTGATTTTATATAGTTTGAATATCATATGCCTAGGTGTAGGGGGTTTATTCTTTTTTTTTTTTTTTAATCTATCCTGCTTTCTGTTTTGTGAGCTTCCTGAATCTATGATTTGGTGTCTGACATTAAATTGGAGGAAATTCTCAGTCATTATTGTTACAAATATTTCTTCTGTTCCTTTCTCTCTTTCCTCTCTTTCTGGTATTCCTGTTACACATTCATAACACTTTTTGTAGCTGTTGTACAGTTCTTGGATATTCTGTTCTGTTTTGTTCCAGTCTTTGCTTTTTAGTTTTGGAGGTTTCTGTTGAAGTATCTTTAAGCTCAGAGATTCTTTCTTCAGTACTGTCTGGTCTACTAATAAGCTCTTCATTTCTATTACAGTGTTTTTGATCTGTAACATTTTGTTTTGGTTCATTCTTAGAATTTCTGTCTCCCTACTTAAATTGCTTATCTATCCTTGTGTGATGTCTGCTTTATCCACTAGAGCCCTTATTGTAGTAATCATAGTTGTTTTAAATTCCTGATCTGGTAATTCCAACATCCCTACCCTATCTGAATCTGGTTCTGATGTTTGCTTTGTCTTGTGGAACTATATGTTTTAGTATGCTTGTAATTTTTTCTTGATAGCTGGATGTGATATACTGGGCAAAGGAATTGCTGTAAATAGACTTTTAGTAATGTGGTGGTGAGGTGTAGGGGGAGGGGAAGTGTTCCATAGACCTATGATCAGTTTGTTAAGCAAATCTTTGCCTCCAGACTATGAACTTCTTAAGTTCCCCTACCCGTCCCTTCCTTGGGTGGGAGAGGGTTGCTAGAGTGGGCTGGAGTTGGGTATTTCCCTTTATCCATGTGTAAGACTAGAATGGGGATGGAGTTGGATATTTTCCTTCCTCCACATGGATGGCCAGAGCTGTTTGGAATTAGTTATTTTCTTTCCCCCGGGTCAGTTAGGCTCTGATAAAACCCCAGCCAGTGTGCTCTGGTTAAATAGTTTCTCCTGAGAACAAACCTTATTAAGAAGAGCAGGGTGGTGTAAGCATGAGGAGATGTTTTTCCTATGTTCACTGTGAGAACTTGTTAGAGCTTCAGGAGGTAAAACTCTAAATAAAAGAGTATGGGGTCCCCCTGATGACAGGGTCTTCCTAGAGTTTTTAATCTTTCAGATTTGTTCACACTGAATTTCCAGCAATCCACTAATTATAATTCAGGTTATCTTTCTCTGGCTCTGGTTCCCATAAAGTTTTCTGCTTGTAGGTTTCTGCCTTGGTAAGTTATGATTCTTTTTGTGTTTGCCTAACACTCCAATTTTGGGGTAGTGATTTGACCTATGACCTCACTTCTCTTAGGGTTCTGAGAATTGTTGATTTTTCAGGTTATTCAGCTTTTTACTTGTTATTAGGTTAGAGTGGTGACTTCTAAGCTTCTTACACACCAGACTGGACCAAAATTGCTTTTGATGCAATTTAAAAAGACCCAGTACTGAATTATTAACAGATATCCCAATGCCTTTCATTAACACAGAATTTTAAATATTGTACTGTTTCCCTGAGGCATTTTGAGTATTTTCTTGTTGGTATCATAAGTGTTCCAAAATTTAATTTTGAATTTTTTATGTGAATAATAGATGAATACGAACGGGAAGAAACCATGCAAGTTTATATGGACCTAAATAATAACATTGAGGTAAGTGTTAGTGAAAAGTTGAATATCTTAAACAGAAGAATTTCTAAGCAAAGTAGAATGATAGCTACAAAGACATGGACAACTGTTCTTGCTAAAAGCATTGTTATTTATTTCTTGATAGATTACTGTATCATTAATAAAATTCCCAAGGTTCTATACCCTGAGTATTAATGTTTTGTTAAATAGTGGCTTTTTGATTTGTCACATTAGTGACACCATTTAACTTAATTTATCAAGTATTTATTGACTGTGTATCAGAGACCAGCACACTGTGGCACATAACTGTTAACTTGAAAACATATCAAGTATTATTAATCTGTATCTGGCTCCTGCTTACCTTTGTTTTCTCATCTTCTATGATTCTTTTCTGCTATAGTCACTCTTTATGTTTTTCAGGTTTGCTAAGCTTTTTCTTACTGCAGTTCTTTGAATTTGTTCCCTTTGTCTACAACTTTTATGTTCAAGATCTTGTGCATACTTCTAAACTTCGTTCTGCTTTTTTGCTATCTCCCTTACTGCTTTACTAAAATATCTTTACATTCAATTATTTTATATCTCTCCATCTCATTTAACTTTTCTGAAGAGTGCTTAAAACTACATGACATATATTTGATGTGTATGTGTGTGTGTGTGTGTATTTTTTTTTTTTTTTTTACTCTGGAGTATAAATTAGTTCCAATAAGGTAGAGACTTTTTCTTCTATCCTAATTGCCTAAAACAGTTCCTAGAGTGTAATAGGCACTCAGTAAATATTTAATGGGCGAATGAATGAATTCATCTGATTTTGTAAAGCAGGATTTGTTGAATGTTGAATGAATACATGCTGCCAGATGATGGAAGTGTAATTTTGGACTTTTATGGGGAGAGGCCTCACTTTAGTGTAGAAGACAGAAATTAAATAAGTAAGCACAAATAAATATAAAATTATAGATTTTGATATATATTCTTAAGTGGCTACAGTACCAACAATCTTTTTGCTGCTGTTTGGTATTATATAACATACTGCCAATGCCTTTAACATCTGGGAAGTTAAGATACTAGGTACTCTAAATACATGTATAGTAAATTATTCAAATTATAGGGTTTCTGTTATTCAAAGTTGTATGGCTGTAAATCTTAATGATCATATGATACAAATTTACTAATATTTTAGTAGTCTGAAGAAAGCTATTTAAAAATTTTAAGTATTAATTCCTAAAAGTTAAACTTTATATTCCAGAAAATGATAGCAGCTTTTGAGGAACTTCGTGTGCAAGCTGAGAATTCTAGATTGGAAATGCATTTTAAGTGTAGGGATCCTATTTCATTTTTATGTTATTGTTCTGCTATTTATATTTTTATTAGATTCTATTAATGTTTTCATTTCTTCAGCCTGATACTCTCAACTATTTTATATTTTGTATTTTCTTTGTTTTTGTAAGCCTATCAGAATCTTGTCGAATGTGTCAGGGAATTAATATATGTTAAAAATACTTTTTGGCTTCAAAACTACATTTTCCATGAAATCAAACTTAATATTTGCATTTAATTTGTTAGAAGTGGGATTTTGGCCTTAATTTTACTTTTCTTGGTAAAATATGCATATTCAAACACCTATATAGATATTTAAAATCTGTTATTTCAGAGTAGAGTGTTTCAAAGAATAAACTTTTATATATGTAGTGTTATAAGAATTGTAAATTTTAAGTTATTATAACTTTGATACTATTTAAATTCACTATTTTACTAAACAGAGAGTTAACAGCAAGGAAACAGCAGTTTTAGCATGTTAGAAACTTTTGAAGTTTAATGTAATTTTCGCATAAATAAGGGGGTAAAATAAACTTTAAATTTTGTTTGTAATAGAAAGTTTATACAGTTATTTTAAAACATTACAATATATTTGTTTTATTTTTTTAACATTGATTTTTTTTTTATTTCGGCATATTATGGGAGTACAGATTTTAAGGTTTCAATAAATCTCCATTTCCTCCCTCCCCCCAAGTCTGAGTCTCCATATTTGTTTTATTTTTAAAGTAAAGGAAGATTATGAAAAAATCCAACACCTTGAAGAAGAATACAAGAAGGAAGTAAATGACAAGGAAAAGCAGGTTTTTAAAAAAAATCTCTGTATTCTTTGTATTTGCTAATTCATAAAATACTTAAAATTTCAAATGAAATTTATATTTTCTGACTGCATGATAAATTTCTATGAGAGAATTTAAATATCATACATATCCCAATATTTAGCCTTTTGCCTAGTCAGATTAATTTCATTGACTCAAATATGCACTCTCTGAATGCTAGCCTATTTTCTTTTTAACTTTTTTTATTTATTATTAGCTTTTGGAACCAGGGTCTCTGTCACCCATGCTAGAGTACAGTGGCATGATCATAGCTCACTATAACCTTGAATTCTTGGGCTCAAGCGATCCTCCCACCTTAGCCTTCCAAGTAGCTGGGACTACAGATGCATGCCACCCTACCCAGCTAATATTTTAAACATTTTTTGGTTGAGACAGGTCTTCCTATGTTGCTTAGGCTGGTCTTGAACTCCCGGCCTCAAGCAATCCTCCCTCTGTCGCCTCCCAAAGTGCTTAGATTACAGGCATGAGACACCTTGTCAAGCCTTTTTCTTTTTAGAGACATGATCTCACTTTGTCATCCAGGCTGGAATGTCTTGATGTGATTGATCATAGCTCATGGAAGCCTCAGACTCCTAGGCTGAAGTTATCCTTCCAAGTAACTGGGATGATAGGCATATGCCACCATACCTGGCTAATTTTTAAAAATTTTTTTGTAGAGATGGGTTCTATGTTGCCCATTCTGGTCTTGAACTCGTGGCCTCAAACGATCCTCCCACTCAGCCTCCCAGGGTGCTGGGATTACAGGTGTCAGCCACTGTGCCTCACCGATTTTGGTTTTTAATGAAGAAATTATCTACAGTATTTGTATCAGTGTATAATAATAGGTCATTGCTTCACAGTATAATTTGTGAGAATTTTGTTCATATAAAAACCTCATAAAATGTGAAGAAGATCATTGACTACTCAACTCAGATTTTGCAGTTTATTTTGAAATATACTATCCTTAACACCAATAAAGGGAAACCAAAGCATTCTTTTACTTCTTTCTGTTAAAGTCACATAGTGGAAGACTTGAAAATTGTGAGTCTATATTTAGTATTCACAAGAATGTTGATTTTAGATTATGTCTTCTCTATCAGTTTCAAGTCTTCTGCTTCCCAAAGGAAAGCTATAGGTAGAAATTAATCATCTTCTTATTTCCCTCTATTTTTGTAGTTTTTTTCTTCCTATTTGCCATAAGATATCTTGTAATCGTAGTTAACAAGGATATCTATTTAAACAATAATAAAAAAAGTTAATTGAAAGTAGAGAGAGGATACTTAGAGTTTTGTGGTTAAATGATAGGAATTCAATTTATATGCTTAGATTTTTTGAAAGAGTTGTTCACAAGTTTTTGTATTTTAACTTTATTTTAAGCCAGATTTCTAAAAGAAGAAAGTCTTTTTAAAAGTTGAAGTTGTGCTTATTATAAAGAACACAAAAATAGAGTGAAGTTCTAAAAAAGCTTGTTGAATTTCTGGATCCATGGGCAGAGCCTATAAATTGTTCAGCTTCCTTGTGAAATGATGTTTTTTGTGGTTTTTTTTTAGCTGGGCACTCCTAAATGTCATTATTTATAACTTTTTTTTTTCTGGGGTTCTGCGAATTCCTGCTTGCGTATATGAACTTGGTTGATGGCATTATAGATCTGGGTTGGGCAGGATAGGAAGGATAGACTGAGTCTGACAATTATATAATATATGCTGACTTTACCATTATATCTTTTTCGCCACCCCTCCCTGTGCCTGGAATACCCATGTTTAGAAATTACCTTTTTCTATTTGATATGCTTCTGTTTCTTGCAAAGATGGAGTAGGGTAAGGTGGCAGTCAGGGGAGTAGAGTCCAGGATGGGAGGATTGGGTGGACCAGCTGAAAAGTGTATAGACAAGTACATAAAATAATTGTAGGTGATGATAAATGCTAAGGTATCATATTTAACTTTTTATATCCATAATGTATTATTTAAATATTTCATTTTAGGTATCCCTACTATTGAACCAAAGCACTGAGAAAGATAATAAAATGAAAGAGTTAACATTTTTGCTAGAGGAATACAGAGATAAAGTTAATCAATTAGAAGAAAAGACAAGTAAGACTTTATATAAGCAAATAGAACAATGTGTCTAATGTATTGCTCTTGTTACATTCTAAATCATGGTTTTCATTACAGGTTTGTTATAATGCTTTCTAGTGCTGTATTTTTCAGCCTGGGTTGTATCATTTGTAGGAGGGCATAAGAGAATCACTTGGGGGAGCTCTTGTGAAATACATATACTCCTCTTTTCCCTTTTATATACTCTTACCTTCAAAGTTTCAACAACATGCTCCACAAAGACAGAGATCTTTGACGTTTTTGTTCACTGATGTCTTCCAAGTGCCTAGAATGCCTAGAACAGTGCCTGACACATATGAGGCACTCAATAAATATTTTATGAATGAATGAATCCTATAGGAACACAGTGGAGGGAGTTACTGATTCTTCCTAGAGGAAGACATTTAGAAGGGCATTAGGGAAAAACTATTTGTTGAACCATACCTTATGTTTAGAAGTTCACTAGATAGCATATTTGAGGAGACAATGTAGACAGAAGAAATGGCTTGTGCAAGTCATGGAAGTGTGAGTGTTAGGGTACATTTGGTAAATTGACAGGAGTGGCAATATCTTAGCAGATTTAGGCAGATGAGACGATAAAAATTTGGATCCCTTTATGAAGGACCTTGAATGTCATGTGATATTTATGCTATCTTATTATTGAATATTTTTCAAACTTTTTCAAATGGCAGGACAATTAAAAGGATGGTATACAAAGAAAACACATTGTGAAGCACCATGCACTTTCCAGAATATTATAGGGATGTTGTGGCATTTGTTGTTTTTCTATTCTCTCTTATTCACATGGCAAGTAGTTATCTTATTCCGGCTAACCTATGTGCACTAATTTCACCTTACAGTCATTACTATATGCTATACTTGAGATATATTGAAATTGTTCAATTCTTATTATTTGATCCTAAATTTTTATTCCTTTTTAGAGGAGTTTATTTGAATGATGTAGCTCATCATTACACCTCTGGAGTTTTCACCTTTAATTTTATATATCATTCCTTAAAGTTTTATTAGGTTTATTGATATCTTCCCTACTTATTCTAGTTTTTAACGAATGTTAGAATACTTATTTTTTAATTTCATTGCCAGTAATTCTAACATCTGAAATCTTTGCAGATTCAGGTTGGCCTTTGTTAATTTTGATGACTGCCCATGGTGCTTTGTTTCCTATTGTGTTTGTTGATTATGAGGTCATGTAACTTTTTTAAGGCCTGGAGTAGAAATATATTTTTATGGAGAAAATTTGCATTTTTATTATCTGGGATCTGGGGAAATTTAGGAGCACTTCAAATTAAGTTTTGGCTTGAAGCTCTTTTGAACATTCGGCAGTGTAATTCAGTTCCCATATGTTCCTAAGGTCTAGTTTGTGTTTATGATTTTTCAGAGGAGACATTTTTTACCAGACTATAAGAAATAATATCATAATGGGCACCACAATCATTAGTCATCATTTCCCTCTCTCCAGATCTACTTTTCTTTTTTTTTTTTTCTAGAAGTGGGCCACTGACCCTTTCATTCTATATAGTTTTTTTTTTAAATGAAATTAAAAAATATATATAAACCTGTAACATCATCTGTTGCTTAATATCCTTCATTGTTTTGCCTGATCTTCATGACTTAGGAAGCATAATACTCTGAACAACTCATATAAATCCTATTATGATCTTGTCTTTATTATCTTTCCAATCATACCTTCCATGACTCTTATATTTTAAGCCTCATGCTACTGAAATACATTTCCTTTAGATGCCAGAATGTATCATCCTATATCTTCTATTTTTGCCTTTGTACATGCTCTTTCACCTGTGATCGCTTCCTCTTCTAACTCGCATTACTTTTGCTAATTCTGTCTTTCAAATGTTGCAACTTAGCGGCCACTTTCTGGCTTTCTTTGAACTTCTGTCTCTGTCTCTGCCTCCCCTTACCTCTAATCCTTACTGATCCTATTTGGCTTAAGTGACCTCTTTATGTATACTCTCAGAACTTCTAGTAACTGTCAGTAATTATCATTGTTTGTTTTCCTGGCCAATGTATTGTCAATTCCATGAATATTAAGGTCCAATTTCTAGCATACATCATAGTAATAGTTAACATTTTTTGATTATATACTAGATGCTGTGTTTAAGCATTTTTTTTTTTTTTTGAGACAGAGTCTCGCTTTGTTGTCCAGGCTATAGTGAGTGCCGTGGCGTCAGCCTAGCTCACAGCAACCTCAAACTCCTGGGCTCGAGCGATCCTTCTGCCTCAGCCTCCCGAGTAGCTGGGACTACAGGCATGCGCCACCATGCCCGGCTAATTTTTTATATATATATATCAGTTGGCCAATTAATTTCTTTCTATTTATAGTAGAGACGGGGTCTCACTCTTGCTCAGGCTGGTTTTGAACTCCTGACCTTGAGCAATCCGCCCACCTCGGCCTCCCAGAGAGCTAGGATTACAGGCGTGAGCCACCGCGCCCGGCCTGTGTTTAAGCATTTTAAGTTGCGTTATCTTACTTAATCTTATCAGGTAACTTTTCATGATATGAATAATTATAATTATCATTATCTAGTTTTCCAAGTGGGAAAAGTGGAGTCAGACTTATTAAGTGTCATAACCCAGGCCAGGTATCTAGTCAGAGGAAATAGAACAATAGTATAATCCAGAAGATATCATGAACTTCTTTTTCCTCTGGTGTTTTTATGAAGTTTAAATGTACACATATAAAGCATGTAAACTAGTATCTGGGACCTCATATTTAGTAAACATTAGCTCTTAAGTGGGTTCAAAAGTTTTTTTATGATTTAATAAATAAAGATATATAATATTAAAAAAATTTAAATGTCATGATAGGCAATAATGAATATAAATCATGAATAATTTCACCATTAGAAGATAAATTACATTTCTTATTTTAGTATGAGTTCTTTCCATTTACATGGATTGTTTATATAAAATTGTTCTTAACTTGCTCTTTTTAATCTATAATATTTTGTGAATATCTATCCAAATTAGTAATCAATGGATAAGATTTGGATCATCATTTTCAGTGGTTACATGGTATACCATCCCATGTACGCACTACCATAATTTAATGTAGTTTAATTACAGATAGCTTTGCTATTATAAAAAAATGTAGAAGTGAAAATCCTTAAATATTCATCTTTGAGTTCTTGGGGGATAGCAATGTTGAAAAGTCAATAAAGGCTGATGATGACCAATATTAGTGTATTTATATTTGCATATTAATTTGCATATTATCATTTTAGACTATTATCTAAGGAGGAAAAAGTAATTATTACAAATAACAATTTTTTTGGTGTGCACCTTCTATTTAATATTACCTATCTGTAACCTTTTTTTAAAGAATTACAGAATGAAAACTTAAAAGAATCAAATGAGAAACGGGATCATTTGACTTCAGAACTAGAAGATACTAAAGTGTCTTTGCAAAGAAGCATGGTATGATTTAAAAACTGATTGGTGTGTAATAAGTCTCACACTGTCAATCAGTCAACAAATATTTATCAAATATTAATACTATGTACAAGGACCTGGAGCTTCAAATAGAGAAGATACAACCCCAGTCTATAAAATGCTAAGTTTAATTATAGACATTGGATGAAAATACATCAGAAATATAGCTAAAATATAAGACCATGCTAGGTACCAAAATACATTGCTGTAATAGTTCTAAGAATTGAAAAAACATTATGGCTGGATTGGCTAGGAAAACTCCATGGAGGAGTTGGAACTATAGGTGGGATTTGGAGAATGATAAATTGAAATAAGAGTAGTGGGTGAGCATTCCAGGGTAAGGAGGAGAAATGAGGGGGTAGGAGGATATGGAGGAGAGAAGGGGAAGCAGATTTATATAAGCAGATGAGTTCAGCTTTTTTTCCCCCTAAAAGCCTTTGGTCATTGCTTTTGTTTTGTACTTTGCTTCATTTAGAGTACTCAAAAGGCTTTAGAGGAAGATTTACAGATAGCAACAAAAACAATCTATCAGCTCACTGGAGAAAAAGAAGCTCAAATGGAAGAGTTTAATAAAGCTAAAGCTGCTCATTCATTTGTGGTTACTGAACTTAAAACTACTATCTGCAACTTGAAAGAATTATTGAGAACAGAACAGCAAAGGTAAAATATTTCTTATTTTTAATAAAACAAATGAATAAAACCAGTTTACTTACGATATGCAGTGTCATTTTCTATTCATTGTCAACTGATATGTAATTCCTGTAACAACTTTAATCAAGTCCCTTTTTAAATGTGTGAAGTGAGAGTACATTTTAAAAGTTTGTATTGGGTAGGCAGGTATCCTAGAAAAAATTTAGAAGCAGATATTTTCTAGGATAGTTCCCATGCATGCTTTGCCATAGAGTCAAACTATATAGACAGGCTCATAAGGGCTGATGCAGTGATATAGCATTTAATGAAACTTTGGATTGTCACTAGCTTCATAGAAATAACTTCCAGGCTATGTGGTTTATTTTACTGGGCTCTGTAACCTTGTTTCAGTTTTATAAATTTAGCAACTAGCCTGGTATACAGTAGGTACTATTTTATATTTATTAAATAAATTAATCATAAATTCAATATATAATTTATTAATTTATTGATAATTTATTAAATTAATGTTTGAATGAATATGATTAACTATATAAAAATTAAACTTCATTTGCATTTAATCTGAATAGCTTGTCTAAAACTTTAAAGACTTGTTCTATTTTTCACTACTTTATATTAAGGAAATATTTATATAAAGCTGTGTTAGGAGGCCTAGGTAATCATTTTTTGTCTCATTAGCATTAGGGCTAATTAAGTTTGGTAAGATAAAGGAGAGGACTGGTTTCTCACTGAAATGGCCTGGGCCAAGCAGCGTGTCTTCTGTACTGCTTGTATGTGGTCAGGGAAAGCTAGCTTTTCTAGCTCCTCTAATCTTATATATTCTTTTTTTTTCTGAGATAGGGTCTCACTCTGTCACCCAGGCTGGAATGCAGTGGCATGATCATAGCTCACTGCAACCTGCAACTCCTGGGCTTAAGTGATCCTCCTCCCTTGGCCTCTCAAAGTGCTGGGACTATAGGCATGAACCACTACATCTGGCCTTATCTTATATATTCTTGATTGACCTATCCCTGCAATTTTTAACTTTTAGAATTGTAAGTTAGATTCATCTGTCCCAGTTACCTCCATTTTACAGTTTGAGGAAAAGAAAGCCAGAGAAGTTAAGCAAAATACAACTGTTGTCATATTTAAATTTTGTCTAAAGCAGAATTCAGTGTAATAGTGGTTACATACTCCTCTTTCAAAGTTCTAGGATGCATTTGATTATCATTAGTAGCTAAGAGACAGATAACCATCAATTTAAAGGTTTTATATAGATGTAATAAATATACAATTATGTATTTATAATAGCAATATCTTATTTAAAGGTGTTACACTATACAGCACAGAGTAGGTACTCAATAAATGTCTAATAGAGTGGGCAAATCTATGCTAAGATATTAATATATCAGTTGCTAAATGTCACCAATTTTAGTTACTAGATGAATTCTGAATAAAAGATTATTTTACATATTATTTTACAAGATTGGAGAAAGATGAAGATCAATTGAAAATACTTACCATGGAGCTTCAAAAGAAATCAAGTGAACTCGGTAAGACTGAGAGAATATGTGTACTTTGATGATATTAGCTAAGTATGAAGACATAAACACTATTTTAGAATAAGATATAATTTCTCCTCTGTCATTTGCCAGTAGTGATTATTTGATAATTTTTATATTTTAATTTTGAAGATAGCAAATTTAAATGTGAAGAAAGACTATACACTTTTATCATGCAGTTAATAGATATCTACAAGTATAAGAAGCCTAAAAGAAAGTTGGTATTCTGTCTTCATCATTTTATAATCCAGAGGCCTTAATTCTTAGTGAGAAATGTCTATATTTTAACTGAATTTTGAAATTTCATTGCTTTGTCATTGTTGGATTATGAACTATACATAGGAAAATGTGATCATATTTTGCTATATGGTGGTATTAATATTCAACCAACATTCATGGCCAAAAGAGAGAGTAGTTCTGTATAGTAGTTATTTTGTGAATTTAAGACCATGTAGTTAGCTAATGCTAATAACCTACACTTCATATTTGTCAATCTTCACATCTACAAATGTGGAGAATTACAACAATACAATAGATTTTTATTCAGTTTCAGTGAAAAAAATTATTTCTTTAAATTGAAAACATTCATGAATTGACAGGTATTTTTCTAAAATACCTTATAACTTTCTGTAAGCTTAATTAGCTTTGAAAACTAGTATAATTAAAATTATTGCAATATTGTCTAATATCTAAAATGTGTGCTTAACATTTCACAAGTAGTTAGGCTGTTTGAACTTTTGAACCATATTTATGCTTTTCCATTTGCAATGTGTAATTTTCAACTATGAAATAACTCTTAATCATCCAAAATTGTACTATCCAATGCAAATGATTTTTATTTTCTTAATATTATTTTATATTAAAATGGTTGTAATATGAACCATTTAGTTTTTTATTCTTCTTTCAGAGCATAAAGTACTGTTTTTGTTTTTTTTAATTTTTTTTAAAGTACTGTTTTAAGTCATTGTATAGATCTTTTTTTTTTTTTATTAGGGGAGGGGAGGGGAGGGGGTAGATCTACTTTCTTTAGAATTGCTTAATTAAATGTTGTAGACTAAGGAATAATTTTGATCCTTAAAATATCTTTAATGGATGTTTATTTGTAGCAGTTAAGTATAATATTGAAATTAGGTGGCTATTTATCATATTAAAATTCAATTACAACAATGTAATTTTCTCATAATAGAGCTTTAATACATTATGAGAAGCCTGAATTAGGAATTCTAGAATTTTATGAAATAGTACTATGTGTGTTTTTTAGCATTGTCTTATATGTTGTAGGAACGTATACAAAAAGTAAAGTACCATGCTCTTGAGAAATCTCTAATTATTATGGGAAAAAGATTGAACACATAAAGCCATTAGAGCAATGGTGTCCAAAATGAGGGTGAGCAAAAATTTCATTAGGAAAAAGGAAGAAAATATTACAACTACTATTTCTATTTATTTTTTATGTTTTACATATATTTTATAATGAGTAATATACTGCATATAAATTTATATAAATATAAATATGCATTTGTATTTATACATATTTATTTGAGCTGATGCTCATAGATTTCTTATTGAGGGAGATGTGTTAATGCTGATGCCAAGAGGAATCCTAAGATATCAATGTAGACTACATATTTGGGGAAGGCTTTATGGAAGAGGTAGATTTTAAAAGTAGACTTAAAGTATATAGAGGCTTTGGATAGTTGTAGAGGATGATAGAGTGTAGAAAACATTGTATATAGGAGAGTAGCATTAACAATGACATAGGTACTCAATGATAATTTCCTTCTTTGGCTAATAGTATAGTTCTCCAAACCAGAAACTTGGAGGGTATTCTATACTCTTCTTTCTCCCTTATGCTTCACTTCATTTTTTTGAGCAATTTTTATTTTTATTATTTATTTTTTCAAATTCAGGTTATTATGGGGGTACAGACATTTTGGTTACATGTAATGTATTTGCCTCACCCAGGCCATGGCTACCAGTATGTCCTTCCCCCACACAGTGCACTCTGCTTCTATTAGTTGTGGGTTTATTCCCCCCACCTCTCCACATGACCAGCACCCAGTGAGTATTACTACCATGTGAATACCTTAATGTTGATCAGTTAGTACCAATTTGATGGTGAGTACATGTGGTGCATGTTTTTTCATCCTTGTGATACCTCACCTCCAAGTATGGGCACAATCTCTATCCAGGATAATATAAGGGTGCTAGTTCACCATTATTTTTTGTAGTTGAGTAGTATTCCATGGTATACATATACCACATTTTCTTAATCCACTCATGTATTGATGGGCACTTGGGTTGTTTCCCCATCTTTGCAATTGTGAATTGTGCTGCTATAAACATTCAAGTGCATATGTCTTTATCATAGAATGTCTTTTTTTCTTTGGATAGATGCCTAGTAGTGGGATTGCTGGATCAAATGGTGTTTCTATTTTTAGCTCTTTGAGGTATCTCCAGATTACTTTCCACAAGGGTTGTACTAATTTGCAGTCCCACCAGCAGTGTAGTAAGAGTGTTCCTATCTCCCTACATCTACACCAGCATTTGTTATTTTAGGACTTTTTGATAAAGGCCATTCTCACCGGAGTTAGATGATATTGTAGTTTTGATTTGTAGTTCCCTAATGATTACAAATGTTGAGCACTTTTTTATATGTTTGCTGACCATTATTCTGTTTTCTTTTGAAAAGTTTCTGTTCATGTCCTTTGCCTATTTATTGATGGGGTGGTTTGATTTTTTCTTGGTGATTTTCTTAAGTCTATATAGATTCTTGTTATCAGCCCTTTATCAGATGTGTAGAAAGCAAATATTTTCTCCCATTTTGTAGGTTGTTTATTCACTCTAATGATAGTTTCCTTAGCTGTGCAGAAGCTTTTTAATTTGATCAGGTCCTATTTGTTTATTTTTGTTGCTGCTGTAATTGCTTTGGGAGTCTTCTTCATAAATTCTTACCTAGGCCGATGTGTAAAAGAGTCTTCTCAACATTTTTTTCTAGAATTCTTAAGGTTTTGTGCCTTAGGTTTAAGTCTGTTTTTCATCATGAGTTGATTTTTGGGAGAGGTGAGAGGTGAGGAGTCAGTTTCAGTCTTCTGCATGTGATATCCAGCTTTCCTAGCACCACTTATTGAATAGAGATTTTTTTCCCCAATGTATACTTTTGTCTGCTTTGTTGAAGATTAGATGACAGTATGAGGATGGTTTTATATCTGGGATCTCTGTCTTATTCCAAAGGTCTATATCTCTGTTCTTGTGCCAGTACCATGCTACTTTTTTTACTATAGCCTTATAGTAAAGTTTGAAGTCTGGCAGACTGATGCTTCCCAATTTGTTCATTTTGCATAAGATTGCTTTGGCTATACGAGGGCTTCTCTGGTTCCAGATGAAGCACAGAATTATTTTTTCTAAATCTGTAAAGAATTATGGTGGAATTTTGATAGGGATTGCATTAATTCTGTAGATCACTTTAGGTAGAATGAACATTTTAACAATATTTATTCTACCAATCCATGAGCATGGTAAGGATTTCCATCTGTGTACATATTCTACAATTTCTTTTCTCAGTGTTTCATAATTCTTCCTATAAATATCTCTCAGCTGCTTCATTAAATATATTCCTAAATATTCAATTTTCTTTGATGCTATTGTGAAAGGTGTTGTGTCTTTGATTTGATTTTCGGCTTGACTGTTATTGGCATATATGAATGCCACTGATTTGTGTGCATTTATTTTATATCCTGAGACTTTACTGAATTCATTTATCAATTCCAGGAATCTCTTGGTTGAATCCTTGGGATTTTCTAGATATAACAGCATATCATCAGCAAAGAATGAGAGTTTGACCTCTTCTGCCCTCATTTGGGCAACCTTAATTCCCTTCTCTTGTCTGATTGCTCTGGCAAGGACTTCCAGCACTATGTTGAATAGAAGTTGAGATAATGGGCAACCTTGTCTGGTTCCAGTTCTAATGCTTTCAATTTTTCCCAGTTCAGTATGATGTTGGCTGTGGGTTTATTGTATATGGCCTTAATGATTTTAAGGAATGTTGCATCTATGCCTATTTTGTTGATGGTTTTTATCATAAAAGTATGCAAAGAGTTAGCTTAAGAAAAAGTAACTTCTTTTTTTAAGTTTACAATGAAGATTAAAAAGTCAAATGTTTTGATAATTGATGAGTTGAAGGTAAAGGCACATTCTGACATCATTCCAAATATATTTTGTGTAGATTTATTTGCTTATTTTGCTTCCTAAACTTTGAGCTTCTTTAGCTGTTGAATTAAATTTATAGAAACATTACTATTAATATTCCTTATCATTTTGCTTAGTTAGATTTGGACTAACTCTATGCCTTACCATGTTCTAATTGCATTTAATATATCTCTTTTGATTTTTCCTTTTCAGATAGTTTTATTATTATTTCTTTTCTTGCCTTTCCTATTCTTTTAATATCAGCTTTTACATATTTATTTTTTTATTTTTGCTTATTTTAGAAGAGATGACTAATTTTAAAAACAACAAAGAAGTAGAACTTGAAGAATTGAAAAAAGTCTTGGTAAGTATAGTCTTTTCCACTGATACGGAAAATGGCGGGCGCCGGGACTCGGCTGCTTGCCACCTCCCCGTAGTTCCGCATCTCGGTGGGCCAGTGCTGCACGTGGCCAGTTGGAGGGCACACAGCCGCCTGGGACCCTGTGTGTCGTAGGGACCCTGCATGCTGGAATGCCCCCAGGCCCACTGCTGCTGCCTGTTTCTGGCCATGCTGCTTGCGTGATCCTGATTGGGTAATTTTTGAATCCCACTGTTTTTGATTGGATGTTAAAGCTTGTTGCTGATTGGATGTTAAAGCTTGTAGTTGATTGGACGCTTCTTGAGCCCTACCAAGGGTATAAAAGCAGGGGCAGAAAGGGCAGGAAGGGGAGAACATATCGGAAGACGCGAAGGGAGCTGTAACACTAGGTGTGCTGAGCCTGCTGTTGAAGAATAAAGGCTGTTCTCCAACTCTTCGTGTGCCGCTCGGTTCTTTCCTCAGTCAAATGAATAAGAGCTCTAACAAGACTGTAACGCTAGCTGTACACACTGCTGCAACACTACTAATATATAGCAATTACTTTTCAAAATAATATTGATTCACAACATGGACAAAGCAGAGAAAGAATTTAAAAAGAAAAATAATATTGAATCCCTTGACTTAGACTCTTACGCTATAAATCATTTATGCTGATTTTTTTCAGTGAAAATATTAACAAAATAGATTGTAAGTAAAGCTATATTCTTTTTTTTTTTTTTTTTTCGAGACAGTCTCATTCTGTTGCCTGGGCTAGAGTGCCATGGCATCAGCCTAGCTCATAGCAGTCTCAAACTCCTGAGCTCAAGTGATCCTCCTGCTTCAGCCTCCTGCGTAGCTGGGACTACAGGTGTGAGCTACCACACCTGGCTAATTTTTTCTATTTTTAGTTGCTTGGCTAATTTTTTTCAATTTTTAGTAGAGGTGGGGTCTTGCTTTTGCTCAGGCTGGTATTGAATCCCGGAGCTCAAGCAATCCACCAGCCTTGGCCTCCCAGAGTGCTAGGATTATAGGTGTGAGCCACCATGCCTGGTTACTATGTTCTTAACTATACCAATTTTTATACATCTTGTTAACTGTCTTTGTCAAGGTGTTTATATTATTTGAATATGTGTTTATGGTACCTTTAAATAAGATTAAATATTCATGTTATGTAGATGATTGTAAATTTGGTACTTTGGGATGTTGTGTCTTTGATATCTTTGAGCCACAAAGATGGAATTTGGAAAAAGATATGTATGATTTATATTCAGTACCTATGTTTAGTGTTCAGGTAGAATCATGTTTAATGAATTTATAAGTTAAGTCTTCACTATATTTTAATTGACTACAGGGTATAGAGCATGACTTGGCAAACTCTTTCTGTAGAAGACTAGATAGTAAATATTTTAGACTTTGTGGGCCATATATGGTCTCTCTTAATTCTCTTCTTGTCTCTCTTCACCTCCCCTACTTCTCTCTTTTATTATTAACAACTTCGTAAAAACAAAAAACTATTCTTAGCTCAAGGATCTACAAAAAGAGACTGCAGGCTGAATTTGTCTTGCAGGCTATAGTTTGCTGGCCCCTGATATAGAGGACAATATTGTTTATGACTTACAGATATTTAATTTTGTGTTTATCTATCACATCTCTACCTGATTTTGCAGCTCCTAGTTCTTTCATCCCTTGGAAAGTATTATTTTAAAATGTTTGTCCTTTCTTCATTGAATTCTTTATGCATAAACTTTTTAAACTATTAATAATGTTCTTCATTGCTTTCAGATTTGCTAATGCATATGTATACTTCAGGTCTCAGCTTAGATGTCACTGCTTTACAAAACCTCTCTTGACATTCCAGAATAGGCTTAGGTCTTTGTATGGCTTATTTCCATAGCATTTTTAATTTTTACTTTAAAATACTCATCACAAATAAAATTATTTTGGGTATTATTGAAGGCTTTATTCACCTTTTTAGACTCCTCTTTACCTCGCATACTAGATGGCACATAGTAGGTGCTCAATAAATAAATAGTGGAATGAGTAAGTGCTCTAATAAGAGCTAAGAGCCTATGTCCTGTTTACCCTGTAACTGTGATACTTAGCATAGAGTCTGACACTTTGCAAGCACTTTATAAATATTTGTTGAATGAATACTATAGCATTATTTTTAGTAAAATATTTATTCCTACATGGACACAGACTGGCTTGGGGTTTTGTTATTGTGAACAGCAATAGAGCATAATTAATATCATGTTTCTCAGGATCAGAATGCCTTGATTGGTATCCAGCTCTTTACTTGCTAACTGTATGACCAAGAGCAATTTACCTAAACTCTTGATACCTCAGTTTTTCTGTCTATGAAGTGGGGGAAGTAATTATACATATTTTATAGGGTGGTTGTGAGGAATAAATAATTCATTTACTCATTTAATAAAGATTTATTGAGTTCCAATTATGCTATACTCTGTGGATACAGTGGGAAGCAAATGGATGCATATTCTTCCTTCATTGGACTACAGTCATCAAATAGTCACACTTAAATTTAATCACTCATTGAAATGTAATATTACAATGGTCACAAGGGCAATAAAAGATTAGTTTTCAGTATAATGAAGGCCTGTAATAAAGGGATTTGAACTAGTTAGGGAGGTCAAGAGAGGCTTTTTCAGAGAAGTAAAGTTGAACTGAAATCCAGAGAAAGAAGGAAATGCAGCATATCAGGGAGAGCTGAGATTCCCAATACCCAGGCTGTGAACCAGTACCTGATAAAGTGGCCTGTTAGGAACCAGACAGCATAGTAGGAGACAAGCAGCTGCTGAGTGAGCAAAGCTTCATCTGTATTTACAGCTGCTCCCCATTGCTCGCCTCACCACCTGAGCTCTGTCTCCTGTCATCAGTCACTGTCTCCCATCACCCCTAGATGGGACTGTGTTATCGCAGGAAAACAAGCTGAGGGTTCCCACTAATTCTGCATTATTGTGAATTGTATAATATTTCATTATACATTACTATGTAATAATAATAGAAATAAAGTACACAATAAATGTAATGCACTTGAATCATCCCCAAACCATCTCTTCTACCCTAGTCCATGGAAAAATTGTCTTCTATGAAATGGTCCCTAGTGCCAAAATGGTTGGAGACTGCTGATGTAGTCAGAGGAAACATTACATACAATGGTTCTTTCATGGTAGGGAGTATGGTGAGTATAAGATGGAGATGGAATGAAAGGAAGAGTGTAGTATAAGATGAGGCTAGAGAATTAGGTAGTAAGAGCCTATCAATTCATGGCCTTGTAAATTATATGAAAGGAATTTTGTATTTATCTTAAGAGGAATGGGAAGTTCTAAAGAATTTTAGCAGGGAGTGACTTGATCAAATTTGCATTTTGAAAAGCACATTTGACTTGCAGTATGGAGAATAGTATATTAAAATAGAACACTTAAGAGTAGACAATCACAGTAGCCAGAGGAAAGATGGTGGTAGCTTAGGCTGGGGGGGTGATCATAGTAGTGAGAAGAAGTGGATGGTTTATTTAAATACTTTGGATTGATGTGGAGTGATATTTATTGCCATTTGTTGCAAATACTCTTTTATTTCCATTGATTTGCTTTTGCACATTTATACAAAAAATCAATTGGTCACATTTGTATTGGTCTATTTCTGGATGCTTTTCTATTCCCTTGATGTATTTTGTCTCTCTATTTGCCATTATTGGAGTATTTTGATTACTGTAGCTTTAATAATAAGTCTTAGAATGGGGTAATGTGATTCCCCCACCATTTTTTGTCATTTTCAATATTGTTTTAGCTATTCTAGTGCCTTTATCTTTCCATATTAATTTTAGAATTAGCTTGTCTACATCTAAAAAACCTTTGCTGGAATTTTTATTGGAACTGTGTGAAATATATAGATTAATTTGAGTTGAAATGATTATGATGTGGAGTCTTTTACTACATGAACATGGTAACTGTTTCCATTTATATAGATCTTTATAATGATTTCTTTCATTAGCATTTTGTAGTTTTCAGCATACAGATCCTGTACATGTTATGTTAGATTTATACTTATGTATTTCTTTTTTTGCAGGTTTTTAAAATAGTATTTAAAAATATATTTTTTCAATTGTACATTGCTAGTAGACGAGGATATGATTGCTTTATCCACTTGTATCCTGTGATCTTGCAACATTTACTTGTTAGTTCTGAGATTTTTTATAAATTCCCTGGAATTATCTATGTAGACAATCAGATTGTTTGCAAATAGGGACAGTTTTTATTTCTTCCTATCCAATCTACATGCATTGATTTCTTTTTCTTGCTTTATTGCACTGGCTTGGTCTTCCAGTGTGATGAATAGGAGTGGTGAGCATGTACATCTTTGATATCCCAATCTTGTGAGAAAAACATATAGTGTTTCACCATTAAGGATAATGGTGCTTGCAGGTTTTTTTGTAGGAAGTTCCCTTCTAGTTTACTTTGTGTTTTTATTATGAATCAGTGTTGACTTTTACCAAATGCTTTTTCTATGTCAGGTAATATGATAATGTGGTTTTTCTTCTTTAGACTGTTAATATTACATTGATTGATTTTCAAATATTGAACCATCCTTGCATTTCCAAGATTAACCCTACTTGGTGTTGTGTATTATTATTTTTCTATAGTATTAAATTTTGTTTATTGATTTTTTTGTAGAAGATTTTTATGTTTGTGTTCATAAGAGACATTACTATGTAGTTTTTTTTTATGTGTGTACTGTCTTTGGTTTTGGAAGACGGTAATGTTGGCCTCGTAAAATAAACTGGAAAGCACTTGTTTCTTTTCTGTTATCTAGAAGAGATTGTATAGAATTGTTTTTTCTTTTTTAAATATTTGGTAGAATTCTATAGTGAAAATATTTGGCCTAGAGATTCCTTTTAGGCAAGGTTTTTAGCTATGGATTTAATTTCTTTCATTGTTATAGAGGTATTTAGGTTACTTGTTTTATCTTGAGTGATTTTGATAGTA